CTCCGTAGGTATTCCACAACAACTGATTTTGAGGTTTTCGCCATAGGTTTTTCTTAATATTAAAAATTTTCGGAAATTTCTCCATACAAAATTTCATTCCTTCTCTAACTTTTCAACCAGACCCCTCAAAAAATTCTTAAATTTTGTAGGTACCTATCTGCTGCCGAAATTAACTTACTTAATAAAAACTAGATGCCAGCCACCACAGGAAATCTCGAGAAAATTAAATGGAAGTTTCCCTGAACGCACAAAGCTGGGGGGTGTCATTTGTATTGATACGTCGCCCAAAATCGAAAAATCAAGTTGTGTTAAATCTTCATACCCAGCATATTTAAGCATTCTGGCATGGTAACGTACTTTCGATTCTCTACCGTTCGCGAGTTATTTCCTTGACCCAAACTGTCATCTTTTTTTTTGCACACCCTGTCAATCTTCTGCCCGAAATGTGGGAGGGGCCAAAACAAAAAGGGGCTTTATCCTGCTCAACGCCAAGATAAAAGACGACGGGAAGAAGTAAGGGGCAAGAATCACGAAGTCGTTGCTTTTAGCTACATGTAGTATTCTGGATTCCAGTAGCCTTTTTAGGGAACGCGAAGAGGGCCAAGAATAGGGGCTCATTTTGTCCGGATACGTCACCACGCCCCCTTCAAAAGGAGAAGAAGAAGAAGAAGTCAATCACGCTGCGGTTCAGCGCTGATGGCCGGCTTTTGGCGGCGGTGGCGGCAGAGGGGAAATGTGGCCGTTCGTCTACTGACCGTGGAGATCGAGGGCAACTACATCTTTGTCTAAAAACATTACTTGAAGCCGCGCCATCAGCACTAGGATCCCAATCAGGAAAAAGACGGCGGCCAGCAGGATAAGCCGGCGCATCTCATCGTACGAGCGGTCGATTCGTAGCCGCAGTTCTCTGGAAGTGAAAAGGTATATTAAAATCGATAAAATAAAGGGATCTTTTGCATTTGGAGGGCGTTAATTTATTCCTAAAGGTATTTCCTAAGCCTAGAAATGTAATCCAACGGTTTTAAATAAAAATGGCTATATTTCAGCTGCGAAAAAAAAAGTAGAAACATGTGGAATCGTTAGAGATCGAGATTTTGTACTTCCTAATAACGAAATTTGGAAGTTGGTAGTCCTAGGAAAAGTAAGAAATTGTCTAGAAATACCCTATTTCTTTTAGAAAAAACTGTTTTAAAGCCAAACAGTGGACTAAACTATTTTTAGCTATTTCTAAACGGAAAAACTTTTCAAAATTTCAGAAAAAAAAATGCAGGAATATCGATTTTGTTCGACCAAAACTGGCCGATTTCTCCATTTCCACGTCAAAACGTAGCCAAAATCGTTTTATTGTTTTTTCCACTTGAAATATAGTTTTTTACTACTATTTTCACGTAGTATCAGAGCGAAAATAATAAACTATAAAGAATAAAAATAACGATAAAACATACTGATAGTTCTCTTCGTGCTGATTGTAGATCGAGTGTTCTTCATCGAGGTCGCGCATCGTTCGGTCGAACCCTGCAAAAAAGTAAATATTTGGCCGGCAAGAGGATTATGGTAAAGCCAGGAAATTTTTTGGGGGTAATCGATCAACTGAATGTAATGGTTTGTGTGCGGATTTTGATCACAGAAAACGGCTGGGGATGAGGGTTGTGTTGAGTGGCGGGTATACATGTTTGTCTACGGAATCGAGCCTCGAATTGAGTGCGGTTTAGGTTCGAGATTCTTTGGTACTGTACTGTTAGCGGGGTGGGGTTTCGGGGCAATTTTTTTTGTTTTCCTCCTTTACTTGCATCTTAATAAAGTAAATTCTATTTTTATACTGTTTTTTCGTTGTTAGTCTTGGAAAGTTCCACAAAATCTTAGACTTTTTGAAATTGTGAAAATTTGACCCATTAATTCACTCAGTAAGCGTTTCTAAATGTTTTTGCTATTCCTAAATGTAAAAACTTCAATATGTCCTATAAATCAAAAAAATCTCCATTTTCACCAGAAACGGCCGATTTTTCGATAAAGAAATTTCAGGTTTTAAATGTGTAAAAAACGTTTTGCATCATTTGTCTATTCCTGTATTTTTTTAAAGGCTAAAACACTTGCTATAGCATCGTAGGCATTATAAACTTATAGGATAAAATTAAGTCCGCGATAAACCCCCCCCCACCCCCGATAATGCAAAAGAACGTCCAGTGGAGAAAAAGTATTCAATGACGCAAAAATACGGCACGGAAAGGGTCTAAACACAAAAATGAGGTTTACCAGATAAGCGTTTAAAAGGAAAATAAATTGCAATAGCTTTAAGCTCAAATTTAACCATTTAAAAACCTAAAAAAAGCAAGAGCACTACAAAGAAAAATAACAGTTAGGAGATTGGCCCAATTTCCGGTGCAACAGCCCGTTTTTTCAAGCGAGAACCCCTGAAAACCGTGGGCCGGCGTGCTGGACTAGATTTGACCTCGACACTCGAGAGCACACCGATGTCGCCCCAAATGGGCCGAATCACCTGGCCGAGAGCGCGCAAACGCCCCCAACGGTAGATGATCATCATGCACAACATGGACGGGGGATTATCATAAGCCGGGCCCATGCTGGCGGTAGCCGGTTGTTGTCTGTCACGGCGGGACAAAAAAAAAGAGATCGAGAGAGGAGGAGCAGGAGAAGGAGGGGAGGAGGAGGACCACGTGGGTACCGAGTCAAGGGCAAACCATTTGGCATCCAGTGAATATTTGTTGAGAATGAGGATGAAATGGAGGAGGAGGAGCAGGAGAAAGAGGAGGATGAGCAGGAGAATGAGAAAGGGATAGGGGGATGGGATGGCAAGTGAAAACGGAGAAACACACACCACCCACAACTCTTTGATCCCTAAATTCGCAGCTTTAAAGGTACACTAACGTCTCGTTGGTTTGGTTACCGGCCGGTAACCGTCCGCGGGATAGCAAACAGGGTTACGGTAGGGGCTCGCCGCGGAGCAAAACCGATCCCGGACCACTCGCCTGGGGCAAGCGCTTTCGACCACTAGGCCATGGGACAGACGGGAGAGGGGAGAGGGGAGGGGGATAAGAAGGGTCGGGGCTTGCTGAGGCCAAGAGCCCGAATTCCCGACCACGAACCTAATTTTTGCACGAGATTTTAGTGTACCTTTAAAGGGGCCGGTAAGTCAGGGCTATATTTGGTTCTTCTCTGTTAACGGGGGGATTTTTAGTAAGAAGCTGTTTCAGAATTTTTACTTAACACTGTTTTTTTGGATATTTTTGATACGTTTTTGCCACAAAAACCAAAATATTTTGAAGATTTGCATCATTTTTTATCAGCTTTGAGTCCAGAAAACTGCATAAAATTATAAAAACGTTTTATATTTCGTTAAGGGCCTCACGGGACTACTGGGAAAAATTTCGTTCGCCGCTACCCCCCCCCCCCGCTAACACACCAGTACTGACTTTTACCCATTCCTTTAGTTTGTGGCAATAAAACTGTTGTCAACAATTAGCATTCCAGCCCCAGTCAACTCCCACACACCCAAAAAAAAAAGAATCGAACACGAAACCGATCCCAAATCGGAGAATCGGGGGGGCCGAAACCGTCAATAGTACAGATGGGGAAAAGGGCTATTTGTGATAGTCGGCCTCCAATTTTTTGCCGTATGTTCGAGGGCGTGCCTTCCTATTTGGTGTCCCGGTCCCGGCCAAATTAGGGCTGATTTCGGGCTGTTGTGGGGGGGGATGGTCAAGGATTGGAGGCGTTGAAAGGGAAATTGTAGGCAGTAAAACAGGGAATATTATGCGGAATATAACGTACTAAACAAAGGCCAAGCATAATCCCAGTACTAAAACTAAGCCTAAGCTTAACCTAAGCCTAGGACAAGCCAAGCGTCAGCCCTAAGCCTAAGCCTAACCGAAACCTACGCCTAATGTTCGGCCTAAGCCAAGCCTGAGCCAAACGAAGCCAGCCTATGTCAAGCTTTAGCTTAAGTCAAGGCTAAGCGAAGCCTAATCCTAACCAAAGCCTAAGCCGAAGCCAAGCTTAAGTCGAGTCTAAGCCAATCTAAGCCAAGCCGAAGCCAAACCTAAGCTAAGCCTAAGCCAAGCCGATACTCAGCATAAGCTCGGGCTGTTGAAGTTCAAACAAATTGGAAGCTAGCAAAGATCTGAGGGTTCAAAAAGCGTTTGCAAGAATTGTCAACATTTTATCGGGAGTTGATTCGTCCGATCTCAGGGCTGAAAAGATGCCAAATCGGGGGGATGGGAAACCGCGACTTGTCGATGAGCGCGGGTCAATCCATCACGCCGCGGCCTACATCCAGCGATTGTCGTCAACGGATGCAACGGAATTTTGTGTAGTTGGAATTAGTGTTTTTGCCGGGACTGGATTGTTAGCGGGGGGGTTCAGGTCTTTAAAATCGAATATGTAGGTTTGTATGCCATATTTTCAATATATAGCTAGTGCAAAAAATATTAGGATTTCCGATAAATTGATTAAGTTTCTGGGCAAAAATACACGAAAATGTACGACAAGTACAATTTTTAAAAACTTAAGACAATGCTTTTAAGATTTTACGTAATCCAAGTCTACTAACACAGTCTGCTAGACCCTCCCCCCGCTAACAGATCAGCCCCGATTTTTGTAGTGAATTAAATATTAAAAATTTCTAATTTGGGACGTCTAACTGATATCCAAGCGCCAGTCTCAACGGAACTCAGCTCTCCAAAACCATGGTGAATCCTATCATTTTGTATTTCTACGTTATCACTATAAATTTATAACTACAAGACTACAAAAAAAAACTCACAGTACGCCTGTTTTCTAACCTGTCCCCTAAATCCTGCCCCGTCCACCGTATCCCCAGTGGGCGGCAGAGGCGGGCGGTCAAAGCACGGAGACGCAGACAGCATAAGCGAACGGAAAGCCCGAGTGACCCTCGGGGAATCGAGTAACGATACCGATATTTTGTATTTCTTTTATTTACAAATATTGCAAACCTACAAAAATAAACATAAATTTACAGCGCAATGGAAGGGACCATCAAGCAGGAGATCAAGCAGGAGGTTGGTTATAGTTGTCTTTGGTTTGTAAAGTGAAATTTTGTTAATAACCCTACATTCCGCGTTTTTCGAGTTGTAACGCGGAGAAAGTAGAGAATTATAATGATAGTAATCTTTAAAATTCACACTGTTTTAGACATTCCACTTTATCAACCCGGCGCTTACGTAACCGAGCTTTTCAGTGCATCGAAAATGGAGACGCCACCTCGCCGCTGGGTAACCTGGATCCCCATCGATTGCGTGACATGGTAAGGGTGATCAATTGATGTTTAAAAATTAAAATGCGTTTTTCCGCTGATTTTATCCAATATTTATTTTTGGCGCAATTATTGCCGTTCCTTGATGTTTTTATTAGATTTTCCAGGATATTGAGAGCAAGCCAAAGAAAACCTTAACAAAATAAAGATTTTATTCGGAAATAACCTTAAGGAATTTTTCAGGTAGTCGATCAGCAGCCTTTCCCGCCCCCTCAGCACCAGTCGATTCAGACGATGCCCGCGCCAGGGCAGATGGTGGGAAAGGAATTTAGAATTTATCCCATGTTTAGGGCTGGCAACCACCGGACGGTGGAAATCCACCCCCGCCGATGAGACCGCATCAGATGCAGGGAATGCCGATGGATCAACACCAACAAATGCAGCCGCAGCAGCAGACGCCGCAGGGATCCATTCCACGTAGGTTTTTCGGCTTTTAACCTTGAGAATTTTTGACGTAAGCTTTAAGAATGGCAAGAAATCACCTAAAACCTTGAATTTCAGCGCAATCACCCATGGGTAGTCCCCAGCAGATGCCGATGCAGCAGCAACCCGGTGGGCCACAGTTTGAAGGCGGTCAGCCAGGGCAACCCTTCTACCCGGGCCCTCCGCACCCCCATCAACAGATGCCACCACAGAGTCCGGGTAGGGTCAACTAGCAGGGATTTTCATGGAAACCTGTCAGCGACGACGATGAACACCCCAGGAGGTCCAATGCCCTCGCCAGGATATCAGCAACAGCAACGGATGATGGGAATGCCGCCACCAGGGCAAGGAGCGGCTGGGACACCCGGTGGACCGCCGCTTCATCCACAGCAATATCCGGCTGGATATCCCATGCAAAATGGACAGTGGGCGCAGGTAAGGCTTAGCTTGTGGCTCGCCCCCTTAGCCTAGGTTGCGCAGAATTTTTCACCGATTACGAATCTGTTTTCAAAATTTGCGGAAGGCTTGATTTTAAATGTTACAGCGGTTTTTCTAGACTGGGATTTTTTATCTTTATGGAATTTTTGTAAAATGCAATTCGAAATGCTAGCGTAACTTTTAGGGTAGAAAAATACACCCGCGCACCTGTTTTTTAAAATATAGGAAAAATTTTATGCCGTCTTAACCTATCTTAACAATTTACAACCGTATTTTAGGGCGCCCCGTACCCAGCTGGCGCGCAGCGGCCCCCAGGCCCTCCTCAAGGAATGCAGCAACAACCCCGAATGCCAATGCACCGCCCGATGGGCCCGTTTCCAGGTGGACCAGGTGGGTGTTGGGCAAATGGTGTTTGCTAGCCTGCCCTATCCCTTAAATAAATTATTTTTAGGCGGCTACCCTCCAGGGATGCCGCAGAATCCGGCGGCTTTTCGTGGTGGACCGATGGTACGGCCCGGGCAATATCCACCGGTAAGTTACGGGGATTTTAAAATGACGGGAAGGGAATCTGAGAGGAAAAATCTGCTAAAAAAATAAATGCCTAAACGGTAGCATATGCTGAAGCCAAAGCCGCAACCTAAGACTAAGCTTAAGTCGAAGCCAAGTCAAAGCCTTGCAAGCCTAAGCCTAAACTAAGCCTATCTCAATTCTAAGCCTAAGTCCAGGCCTGATCCTTCTTTTAAGCTGACGAAACTTTACTCTACCACTCATTTTCTCATTTTCCGTAAATTTTCGCGAAAACCCGGATTATTCCACGGCAATCCCTTCCCCCCTACTGAAAGACTAATTCTGGCGTGGTGCCAATGAGTGCCTAATCCGGTGGCGCTCGTTTTGGCGGTGGACTTTGTCTGTTCCCCCCTTCTAATCGGCTGCATTTTAGGGTGCGCATCCGGCCGGCTATGGTTACCCGGGACAGCCACCCCAAGGATATCCTCCACAGCCAATGCCCGCCTACCAGCGACCACCACAGGTGCGTGTTTTTGCAACTTTTTTAGAAGAATCTCTCTCTCTCTCTCTCTCTCTCTCTCTCTCTCTCGCTACGTCCCTTGCTCTCTTTCTCACGCCTTCACTCTCTCTCTCTCGCTCTGTCTCTCTCTTTCTCTTTCTCTCTCTCTCGCTCTCTCTCTCTCTCTCTCTATCTCTCTCTCTCTCTCTCCCTCTCTCTCTCTCTCTCTGCCTCGCACTTGCCCTTTCACTGGCTTAGTCGCTCTCGCTCTCCACTCGATCTCTCACTTTCTTTCACTTTCTCTCTATCTATCTGTTTCTCTCTCCCTCTCTCGCGCTCTCCCTTTCCCTCTCGCGCTCGCTCGCGCACTCTCTCTCGCCCTCTCCCTCTATCCTTACTTTTGGCATTTAAAAACATTATAAAGCTAAAGGCAAGAACCTGTCAAAGACCCAAAATCGAAAGAACATGGAACCCAAAATTTTCAGAGCCAGCCGATGCGGCCGTACATCAATTCGCCGTCGATGAACCCGGCCGGTTGGTGGAAACTTTCAAAGATCGTTTTTTTCAATTTTCCGGGTGTTTTGGCCAATCGAGGCGATTTTTAGAGGCCCAGTCTTAGTTGAGCTATAGGCTGAGGGCAGTGGAGACCTTCAAAAAGCCAAACTTTTGCTGGATACTACGTGGAGCTCCCCTGATCATGGTTTTCGTGTGAATACGGTGATTCACCTGGGAGCCGGAGGGTCCACTAGCATTTGTTATTCGAAGGCGAGGGAGAGAGGGGGCGCTTCAACGGATGGCTACAAAAGGGGAATTCAGCCGTCGGTCATTAGGTGGATAATGGAGTTGGATTTAACGGGAGGGTGACGAGAAATTCAGTACCTTGCTACGTCCCTTTTCTCTCTCTTTCTCATGCTCTCGCTCTCTCTCCCTCTCTCTCACCCTCGCTCTCGCTCTCTCTTTCTCTCCCTCTTTCTCTCTCTCTTTCTCTCTCTCTCTGTCTGTCTCTCTCTCTCTCTCAACCGCCCGAAACACGTCATTAGGATCAGATACGAAATTCCTAAAATTCCGATTACAAAGAACACATGGGCACTGTAGCCACGAGACCCATCCATGCCACCTAATTTGCATCCCCTCGGGGATCAAATCAGACGGCCATCCCGAGAAGTTGCGGGCTCAAATTTCGGATTTGCCGCGCCGTCAGTAGGATTATATCGTAGGGGAGGCTGCCGCAAGGGGCAGGTCGTGCTGGTAATTAGTGGATCGGGTGGCGAGAAAGAGAGAGAGAGAGAGCGAGAGAGAGTGAGAGAGAGAGAACACGGTCCCTCATGCCACAGGGGAAATGAGCAAATTAGATGTCTCGCACCAGCCGTTCGCAGGAGCCCTACGTAGTCGGTCGTGTACTTTGCCTAAAAGGATGGGCAACTCAAAAGCCATTATTACTAAGCCACAGTATTCCGGGGAATACGGTAGCTAGCTGTTTGCAAAATGGTATGCGCTAGATTAACTCGTTTTAAAGATTCTGGAAAGGCATAAAAACTACCCTCTTCACCTATTCTGGCGAATGCTTAACTACAGTTGTGGTGTACTGTAGCGTACTGTCGCGGACTATATACAAGGTAGTATCGCGTACTCAACCGGCCCTTTGACACGTTACCGCAACGTTATTTTGTAGGTATAGGCGAAGGCGTAGTGTAGCGTACGCTAGCCTGGCCTTGCGCATTTTTGCGTACTGCGATGTAGTGTTACGTACTCAGCGTACTGCAGCGTAGTAAAGCCTGCTGCGGCCTACAAGAACGTTCATTTTCGCTTCCAGGCCCCTTGCAAATACGTAGTGTGTATACAAGAGCGTACGGTAGAGTACTGCAACGCAGCGTAGCCTACTGAAGCTATCCAGGCATACTGTAGCGTAATGTATCGTACTATGACTTACGGGCAATTAACTTTAAGAACTCCTGCGTAATGCAATATCGTCTAGCGTATTGCAATGCAGTGTGTCCTACTGTAGCGTAGTGTATCGTGCTATAGCATTTGAACCTCCAGCATTTGCCTTCTCAGTCCCTTTAAAAGCCCACAATCCAGCTGCGTTTAGCCGGCTGGTTGTGTGAGAATGTAATTTGCACGAATCCCCTGTCTCGCCGCCCTTTCCCGAGGCCTTAATTCCACCTGGGCCCTCGGTGGGCCCTCTGTGGGCCCTCTTCCCCTCCTTTGGCCCTTCCCACCACTAACACCACGACACCCTTCTCGTTCCCGCCCCCCGGTAAATGAGCATTTTGCCCTCGAGCCGGCAGCCGGCTCTTGCCCCTTTCCAACCCCCCCCCCCTTAATAATTATATACAACGCCCCACACCACCCGGGAGCCCCACCACAATGTCACCACACACTCCCCACCGGCCGCACCTCTAATCTTATCGACTTGGGCGGTTTTTTTGAGTTTTCACTTCAGTGGTCCTTTAAAGTTTGGCTTAGGCTTAAGGTCAGCTTAGGCTTAGCTTAGGCTTAGATTTAAACTTCGCCTGCTATGCCTAGGCTTGGTTTACTATACCTAGCAGTAGCGTCGTCTTAGGAAGCCTTGGACTTGGGCTTGGGGTTTGGCTTTGACATAGATTTGGGCTTGGACTTGGGCTTAAGCTTAGGCTTATGATTAGGCTTAGCCTAGGCTTAGCTTGGGTGTAGCTTAGGCTTAGCTTAGAGGCGTACCGTGGCTTGGGCTTAGGCTTCAGGTACTTTGCCCCAATACCTGGCAGAGATTGCCTAGTTTTTGCGAGAGAGTGAGAGCGAGAGAGACAGAGAGAGATAGAGAGAGAAGACAGAGAGGGCGAGAGAAAGAGCGAGAGAGGAAGAGAGAGAGAGAGAGAGAGAGAGAGAGAGAGAGAGAGAAAGAGAGAAAGAAAGAACGAAAACCACCCATCCAACGCGCGCCTCAAATGTTGTTATCATTTTCTGGATTTGACCCATTGTTTGTGTGTGTGAAGAGGCATGTGGGGAGGTGTGATCGATGCGCGACACGCCTTCGGGCCTCCGACAGACAGACAGAAGGGCCCGGTTGTTTTTCCGTTCCGAAGCGGGCCCCGGAGTCGGACTCCCCAATTTGATTCGCCTTGACTTTCTTGACAACAGACCCCACGGCCTGCAACAAATCGAAAAATTAGAAAATAGCTCCCCATTCCGCGGTGCGCCCCTGTACGTACCATTTTGTGTAAAGTTTCCCGATCGGGGCGCCGTTCTTATCAACGAGGGGATCGTCGTGGCCTTTGCCATTCATTCTAGCCACCGTTCTCGATTTTTCCATTTTCTGAAGGGTTCTCTGCTAGTTTGCCTTAGTTTTGAAAAGCCAGGACTCTCTCTCTCTCTCTCTCTCTCTCTCTCTATCTCTCTCTCTCTCTCTCTCTCGCTCTCTCGGTCTATCTTTTTAAGCTACCCTCAAATTCTCTCTGCTTGCCTAACCACTCCACCGCCCCTTGTTTTCCTCTACTCCCATTCTCACCCGCCTCGCCCAGCCGTTGTTAATTCGTAATTTAGCGCGTCGCGTATTTTCCCCAGGGCCGGAAAGGGCACTTTTGCGAATTACGGTCACCCGACTTGCTTTTTATCCCGCCGTCCCGCTTCACCTGGCCAATTTTTAAGGGGTTTTTCGGGTACTGTAGCTCTCAAAGGCGGGCAAGTTTTGCTTTTTTTACTTGAAAATCGCCATATGGTTTGTAAATTTTTGCGGTTCGGAACTTTTCAGAAATGTGCATTAAATCGCTAGGTTACTGTATTTTTTCAACCTGTTGTTGCAGCCGGAAATACACGTGGAATCCCCGGGTATTGAGGGCGGCCAGGTGAAGAAGATAGCTAAACCGTCCATTAGGGCCCGGGCATTGGAAGAGGAGGACCCAGAGAGGGCCCAACTAGGGCCGAAATCTATCCTTTCATATACACCCGCAAGGTGCCAAGCCTAAGCCTAATCCTAAGCAAAGCCAGGCCCAAGCCCAAGCCAAAGCTTAAGCCTAAGCCAAGCCAAGCCTAAGCCTCAGTCCAGGCCTAAGCCTATGTCTAAGCCTAAGCTTATAGACTCGCAACTAGACTATTCACTCCCTAAGCTGGCACCGCACCAGGCCTGAACAGCGTCATGATGACGGCCCCCTTCTCTGCTGGCTGTACGAAATCTTAATCCCCAGCCAGCCTCCGAAAAGCCGACACGAATTGCTTTTCGAATCACTGCTAAAATTGCAGGGCAATGGGGCAGGCTAGCATGGATTATTAGGGAATAGAATTCATTCAGGATTTCATGTTCAAATGTTAAATTTATCTCTCCCTCTCTCTCGCTCTATCCCTCTCTCTCTCCCTCTCTCTTTCGCTCTCTCTCTCTCTCTCTCCACTAATCCCTCCCCCTCTTCAGAATGTGGTCCCCTCTCTACATCCCCGACGACCCGTTCATCTCGGACCCATCCTCCTCCAACTCATCGGTCACCTACGAGATCGAACTCCCCGAGGAAGGCCTCCTCGAGACGATCATCTACCGGAATGGCCCTTACGGCTACTATCAGGATCGCCATCTATCCCCCCTTCATTCCCATCCCGATCCCCCAACCCCACTCCAATTCCACATCCCCACTTTCCAACCCAACAGCCCAGATTCCGGGTATTTCGAGTCGAACGACTCGCACTCGTTCCCCAGCCCGGAAGGGTTCTCCGATCTGAAATTCGATGCCCCGGCGTCTCTGCCCGAAATGGTCCCTGAACCCATTCCACTCGAAGATCAGCTACCAGAGCCTGTACTCCCCGCCCCGGTCGCTCCTGTAGATCCAGCGCTCAAGGCCGACTTCGTGATCATCCCCCGAACGAGAAAGCGCAGGAATTACACCCACACCCTGGCCACCGTTATCCCGCCCCGCGAGCTGAAGCGGGACGGGGTGCAGAGCCCCGGCTCGACGTCATCAAGGGGTTCAAGCTCTTCCTCTTCGGCGACCTTGTCGAGCTCGTCGGGCGGATCATCGGGTACGAGCCCCGCGCAGACGCCGAGCCCGCCGGAGCCGCTGTGGGACCCGGAGTGCGATCTGTTGCTGCTCCCCTCGCCGGACAGGCTGACCAGCATGATACAGGGGCTGGCGGACAAGCAGTTTTGAGCTGTTGTAGCCTGTAGAACACACTATTCTTCTGATAATGCGCTGATGCGCGGCATTGTTCCTTAAATGGGTCGTATTACAGTTATTTTTCTGTTTATTTTGTATTCTGTAGCCTACCATACCCGTCAAAACAATGCCTTAACCCTATATTCCATATCTACAAGATTCTATATCATCTACCCTGCGATTCGAGCGATTACGGTAATACCCCTGATATTACGGTACTTTTCCCGACTGAGATTCTGAATTTTGTGCAACATATCGATTCCGAGAAACGCTGACGTCACTTTACCAAAAATTCAGCTAACCGCCAAATTACACTGTACGCAGCAGCTGCCTTCTATTTATTCGAATTTTGCTATTTTTCTTGGGATTTTTGAGCCATGATTTTGGTAGGTCGGTAAATAGCAAATTACCCAAAGATTTGATTGAGTTTGAACCTTGAAAGGTTGGGAATTGGGAAAATTTCGAAAATTCAAAAAATAGGTTTTCGATGCCTCCTGACATTTTAAATTTATCCATTACGCTATGGAATCCGCATTTAAATATTTTGTCGCCTTTAAAGATTATTTGCCCGCCAAAATAACTTGATTTAAGTTAATTGAAATTGTTAAAATCCGCTAGAAAATCGATTGGCCAAAATACCCCCGGAAAATTAGACGGTTACGCGATCAAATTCGCATTTATATATATTTTTTACAGCCTTCCCTAATGTGCCCGCGCCACAGACACCTGCGCCGCATCCATATACGCCGACAGGTTGGTATCTTAAAATTTGCAAATTGCCAGTCGGCAAGCTAGCATAGATTCTATGAGGAATCGGGTGGGCCCGGGCAAGCTAGCAGAGATTATTTGCGGAAGGTGGAACTAGCCGTGATTGTTGTGGAAATTACCAGCTTGGGCAAGCTAGCAGCGATCCTTTCGGAAACGGATGGCCCCGCGGGCTAGCAGTGGTTATTTGCGGAAACGGGCCGTCCGGACAGGCTAGCAGCAATTCTTTGCGGAATCGTTGCTCCGGCCAACAGTGTGAGGATACTGACTAAAATGAAAATCCAGATAAATTTTCGGTGACATCCTCCGTTACAGTACCCCCCTTCCGTGACGCTCCTCTAGACGATCGGAATCACGCGGACTATACAGTTCTCGATTTATCAATCCTCCCAGGACCCCCACCTCAACAGGCAATTTGTAGCCAAAACCCCCACCTCGTTTTTGGGGTTCGAAAAAGGCGAATTTCGGGGTCCCGCCGGGATCTACCCATTAGCCCCCAGCCTTAGTTTTTTGGTTTTTATACAGCACTATAAAGCTACCGTATCCGCGTGGTCGATCAGAATTTTAGTCTAAAAGTATCGATTCCAGAGCTGCCGATGCACCCGCAGATTCGCCAGATTCCGCCCGGCTCCTATCCCTCGCAATTTGTCACCAGGGATCCGAACTTGAAGGGTAAGCGAGCAGAGGTTATTTCGGGGAAATTTGCGCCTTGGCAATCAATTGAGAATATCTTAAGCAAAAAGCAGGCTAGCATGGATCATTGGGGAATTTGAGATTTGATGAAACGGCTCAAGACTTTTCGAAATCGGGCAGGCTAGCAGAGATTTTTGCGGGGAAATCGTAATTGTTCGTAAATTGCTGGAAAGTTGGTAAGCTAGGAAATTTCTTTGAGGAATTTTGGGCAAATGGGGTTTTGCCAACATTTTCCGTGATGTTACGGGTGCTAGCGGAGGTTCTTAAGAAAGTTTGAAAGCCGGGGGCATTATCTGGAGAGAAGGCAAACTAGCATGTTCCCTAAAACGCATATTTTTTTACAGTACCCCCCGAGTTGTGCCTGTCTGGCTGCTTCTTTCAATATCTGGACAGTGAGAAGCTGACGCATGATAGGGCAGATCAGGAGAACATCGCAAGGACTGTGAAGCTACTTGGTGAGTTCGCCGACTGTTGCTCTCCGACTCTTTCCCTCTCTCTCCCTTGCTCGCTCTCTCTCTCTCTATCTATCTATCTATCTATCTATCTATCTATCTATCTCCTCTCACCATAAAATGTTTAGGCGGTGACATCGACTTTGGGATCAAGACATTCAACGAGCGGCAAATGTTCCTGACTCACGTCATCATCGATAGCTCACAACCAGCACAGGCAGCGCTGAAGAATGCGCTATATCAGGTAGGGAAAGAGGGAGATGGAGAGAGAGAGAGAGAGAGAGAGAGTGAGAAAGAGAGAGAAAGAGAGAGAGTGATCTGAGAAGGTCTGAAAGATTACAAGTGATCTGAGGCCCTTTGAGCATCCGTTTTTTCAATCTGTCAGGGCAAACAAGCTGTGTTCATTCAACGGTATTCCAGTCTGCCCTCCCCCGTCGTCTTCGCGTGGTCACCAGCCAATGGCTATGTGACGTCGTCTCGCTGAAGAAGCTGGAAGCCCCCTGGAGAGCCGCCCATCTGCCCGCCCCCTGGGATGCGCATCGTCCACATCCTGGAAAGGTGGGCTAGCAGAGATCGCTCAAGAAGTCCGGAAGTCTATGGCCCTAGATGGAGGGCGGGCTAGCAGGGAGAATTTAGGAAGAAAAAAAAACGATGAATTTAGACGATCGCCTTCCACGGCTTCACGAGCGATGAGCGGACGGCGCTTCAGTTTATGGTGGAGGCGATCGGGGCCCGAGCCACGCCATATTTTACGCCGCTCCATTCGCTACTTATTGCAAAGGGGTAAGTGGGCGAGGTTAGGCAGGCTTGGCTTAGGTTAGGCTTAGGGTTAGACGTAAACTTAGTCTTATGCATGGCTTAGGCGTGGCTTAGGCATGGCTTAGGCATGGCTTAGGCTTGGCTTAGGCTTGGCTTAGGCTTGGCTTAGGCTTGGCTTAGGTTTGGCTAGGGTTGACTTAGGCTTGGCTTAGGCTTGG